AAGCAGATGCAAAAATTCTTAATAAAATACTGACAAATCACATAAAAATGTGGGAAGCCACCCTGGATGAACACACCTTTAAGTCTTGATGCACCCGGGTTCTGAACAATTATAGCGTCACAGTAACTTGGACGTTACCTCAGCTTGGCTCCAGGAGTAGGCGTCACCTGCTGGGGTTGCATTACACTCACCTGTTCTTTTGTAATCCTATCCCTTCTGCCTTTTTCAGATAGTTTTAGAAATAGTGTCCCACCCGCCCCATAAAAGCCCACTTCTGAATGTGCTTGCTTTCTCTCGTCAGCCTCTCGTGACATTCTGTTGCCCCCCTTTTGGGGACCCTGAGGCCGGGAGATGGGAAAGTTTTCCTGAAACTTATAAAAGGTATTCTGTGTCTGTGTGGTACTTTGCATCACCCCAAATTCACACAAGTGACTTTAGTTCTGTTGCCTGTGCTGGTCAGGGGCAGCAAAAAAGCATATAAAAAAGATAGTGCACCATGATCCAGTGGGGTTCATACCAGGCAAGGTTGGTACAACCTATGGAAATCAATAAATGTAATTCATCACATCACATTAAACCGAAAGATAGGAATTACATGATTATATCAATAGATACAGAAAATGCATTTGATAAAATATAGCATTGATTCATATTCAAAACACTAGAAAAACTAGGGATAGTAGGAACATATCTCAACATTTTAAAAGCTATCTATGCTAAGCCCCAGGCCAACATCATTCTAAATGGAGAAAAATGGAGACACTCCCTGTATAAACTGGAACCAGACAGGATGATCTCTCACAACTTTTATTTACCATTGTCCTTGAAACTCTAGCCAGAACAATTGGACAGAAGAAAGAAATTAAAGAGATACAAAGAGGAAAGGAAGAATTCAAACTATCCTATTTGTTGATGAAATGATTTTAAATTTAGAAGACCCCAAAACTCCACCAGAAAACTTCTAGAACTCAAAAATGAATTCAGAAAAGTAGAAGGATATAAAATTAAGACTCATAAATTGAGTTTCAATATATCAGTGATGAATTAACTGAAAGAGAAAATAGAAAAAAACTATCTCATTCATAGTAGCCTCAAAAATATTTGGGAATCAATCTAACAAAAGAGGTGAAAGACTATTAGAATGAAAAGTACAGAATATTAAAGAAAGAAATTGAAGAAGACCTCAGGAGATGGAAAGATCTCCCATGTTCTTGGATAGGCAGAATTAATATTGTCAAAATGGCCATACTACCAAAAAATTATACAGATTTAATGCAATTACTATTATAATTCCAATGATGCTCTTCATAGAAATAGGAAAAGAAGTCATGAAATTGATTTGGAACAATAAGAATCTCAGAATAGCAAAAACAATCCTTAACAAGAAAAGTGAAGCAGGAGGCATCACAATACCAGACTTTAAATTACACTACAGAGCTGTAGTAACAAAAACAGCATGGTTTCAGCACCAAAACAGACAAGAAGACCAATGGTACAAAATAGAAGACAAACAGATGCATCCACATACACAGTTCTCTTATACTAGACAAGGCAGCATAAAACTACACTGGAGAAAAGATAGCCTCTTTGCAAATGGTACTGGCAAAACTGGACAGCTGCATGTAGCAAAATGAAATTAAACCCATATATGTAACTCTGCACAAAACTCAACTCAAGTGAATCAAGGGCCTAGGCATTACACCAGAGACCCTGTACCTACTAGAAGAAAAAGTAGGCCCAACTCTCCATCTTATCAGCTTAGGAACCAAATTCCTCAACAAGACTCCTAAAGTGCAAGAAATAAAATCAAGAATCAATAAATGGAATGATATCAAACTAAAAAGCTTCTTTACAGAAAGGGAGATAATCAAGAATGTGAACAGAGATCCTACAGAATGGGACAAAATCTTTGTCACTTGCACCTCAGAAACAGCATCAATTTCCAGGATATACAAAGAACTCAAAAAACTTAACACCGAAACCAAACAAATGAAACAAAAATCAGAACCACAAACAAATAACCCAATCTATAATGGAAAAGGAACTGAACAGTCACATCATAGAACAAGAAATATGATTGATCAGTATATTGATCAATAAATATATGAAAAAATGTTCAACATCTATAGCTATTAGAGAAATGCAAATTAATACTAAGCTGAGATTCCATCTCACTCCAGTTGAATGATAATTATAAAGAGTACATGTAACATTAAAATGTTGGCAAGGATGTGGGGAAAAAGGTACACTCATACGTTGCTGGTGGAATTGTAAATTGGTGGAACCACTGTGGAAAACAGCATGGAGATTCCTCAGAAAACTTGGAATGGAACCACCATTTGACTCAGCTATCCCACTCCTCTGTTTGTACCCAAACGGCCTTAAATAAGCACACTACAGTGACATGGCCACATCTATGTTTAAAACATCTCAATTCACAACAGCTAAGCTATGGAACCATCCTAGGTGCCCTTCAACTGATGAATGGATAAAGAAAATGTAGTATATATACACAATGGAATGTTATTCAGCCATAAAGAAAAATGAAATCATGGCATTTGCCAGTAAACGGATGGAAATATCATGCTAAGTGAAATAATCCAATCTGAAAAAAAAAAAAAAAACAAAGGCCAAATATTCTCTCTGATGTGTGGAGGCTAACAACAAGGGAGGATGAGGAGGGTGAGGAGGGATGAATAGTTTGTTGGATTAGACAAAGGGGAATGAAGGGAATGAAGTGGGAGATGGGAATAGGAAAGGCAGTAGAATGAATTAGTTGTAAATTTCCTGTGTTTATGTATGAATACACTAACAGTGTAACTCCACATTGTGTACAAACACTAGAATGAGAAGTTATACTCAGTGTATGTAAAATATGTCAAAACACACTCTACTGTCATGTGTATCTAAAGAGAACAAATAATTTTTTTAAAAGACCAACATCACTGCTGTTATTTCATTTAACCAAGCGAAACTAAATTCCCTTGGAGTTTCTAGATCACTCACAATGACCACAAGCTGCCCCATGGCTTTGGAGGCAAACATCTTCCCCTCATGGTCTTGTCTACATATCATAAGAGCAACAGTTGTCTGGTGACCCTTTGCCTCTCTAGGACTTAGATGCTCTGTAAATACTGATCACTTCAACTGCTCCCCACAGCTACCAAAGTCTGATCAGGAGAAGATAGAGCAAGAACTGGACCTCTGGTGTGTTTCATCTGCAGGATGGCATGGCTTCCCCATGCTTAGTCCCTTACTGGGTATCAGAGGGGGTCACTTCCCACCAGCCCCTTGGCTAACTGAAGCCCTAAGAATTAACCTAGAGGACATAATGGGAGTCACAGCAGGGACATCTGCTCTCATGCCCTGTGCACATTCCCCTCCTCAGTGATTCCCGCCCAGACCACCCCATTTGCAGTAGCTCTCTCCCACAGAGTCTCCAGTTCCCTTTTCCAGCTGATTGTTTTCACTTCACATTGATCACTGTTCAATATGTCATATGATTTACCTATTTGTTATGTATTGATCACCACCATTGTCCCTAGAATGATCTTAGCTACACAGGGCAACTCCTTTGCCTCTTTTATGCCCAACACACTGCAAGTTTCTTTAACAGTTCCTGGCACACTGTAGGTGTTCAATCAATGTGTGCTTATTTTATGAATTTCTCAATGCAACACCCGCTGCATTTCAGACGTCTATTTGAAATGCAGAAATTTTGTAGAAATGGCCACAGGTTGATTTCCCATATAGAATACTTGGCAGAACAAAAGCTATTTGCCAAATATAGGCAGGAAGCAGAAGAGCCCAGGAAAAAAAAAAACCCACAAACCATCTTTCCCTAACCCCACCATTCTCTAGGCCCATTTGCAGAAGTTGTAGAAACTGTGTCAATCAGGCAGCATATGCCAGATTTACTGATTTCACTTACAAATTACAACTAGGCAGAGAGAGAGAGAGAGAGAGAGAGAGAGAGAGAGAGAGAGAGAGAGAGAGAGAGAGGAGAGAGAGAGAAGAAACAAGATCAAAATCCTCCTTGGGTGTCTAGACCACTCATGATTAATTAAGATTTACCAAGCCTTTGGAAGCAAAAAATCTGCCCTCCCATGGTCTTATGCTACACATCATTAAAACAGAGTCAGGTCCCAGTGTTTGAAGATGGGTGGTTGAACCATGAGCTCCGGATCAGACTATCTGTATCCAAACCCCAGCCCTAGCACTGCTATTGAGTGACCACAGAACTCCTGGTACTTCTGTTTCTTATCTATAAGGTGGGGTGACCAGAGTGTCTGCTGTGGGTATCATGATCACATGACAGAGAGTTGTACAGCATCTCAAGAGAGTCTGGCCCATGATGAGTGATCAAAGAATTGAGATTTATCACTCAGCAGATTTCCTGAGTCTGGAGCCTTCCACTGGCACCCTATGATGTAATAAGGGTAAGGACATTGTCACAGCCTGTGTCAGTCAACTTTTCATTACTGTAAGTAATACCTGAGACAAATCCACTGATGAAGAGAAAAGCAGGATGACAGCTCACAGTTTTAGAGGTTTCAGTCCAGCATAGATTGGCCCCAAGGCTATTGGGCCTGTGGGAGGTAGGAAATCAGGGTGGAGAAGGCAAGATGGTTGAGGACCTGTACCTCAAGGCCAGACAATGAGAGAGAGAGAGAGAGAGAGAGAGAGAGAGAGAGAGAGAGAGAGAGAGAGAGAGAGATCACTCCCTGCGTGGCCTTGAGGTCTTGGGGGTTCAGGAGTTATGAGGACTTAAACATTGATCCTCTGGAGAGATGCTCTGTGAGCTGAAGTATTATAATATACAAGTCATTCTTGTCACTGCTGTTTGCAGCATCAGCTGATGTGATGCCTCTGGCCCCAGCTGCAGGGGAGGCCTCCCAGAGACAGAGCTCAGGACCCTTGGTCTGGGCTCCAGATAATGCCCTGTCCTTGCCATTGGTGGCAGAGTTTGTGTTTGTCCTGAGTCCCTGGGAGTCCAAGGGCAGAGCTGACCCAGGGGCCCGGACAGAGGAGTCTCCCCAGACAGTGCTCACTCACCTGTGAGTCCCAGCAAGAGGGTCAGCAGCAGGACAGGACAGGGACACTGGGGCCGGGAGGCAGGTGCAGACATGGTGGAGCCCTGAGGAGCCTGCTCTGTCCCAGTGTCTGTCCTGGGGAGATCCCTGACTCTGCTCTATGGAGGGAACTGACACCTGCCTCCCTTGTTGCAAGAGGAAGTGACTGTGGCAGAGTGACAAGCAATTTCCTCCAAAATTGTGAAGTAGAAACCAGGAGCACAGACAGCAAAGGTTAAGGGTCTCTCATGCTGCATGTTTAGAAGGAACTGGACAGACCTCGAGGAACAAGACAAGACTCCTTCCCCTGGGGCCTGGGCTGGCTCCATATGACCCTTCATGGTTAGTTGGGCGTTAGTGATGGTCAATTTGGGAGTCCCAGGACAAGAAAGGTGAGCCCCAGAATCCTGACCCTGAGACCCTGGTGTGACTGGCTGGTGGCCTCACTCTGCAGCAGCCTCACTAAGCGCTACTCAGCAGAGGGAGGAGGAGGGGCCTGGGGCCTGCTCAGTGTGAAGGAGGGACTGGTCATTTCCTGCAACGGCCACGGATTTTTCTCTTTAAAAGATTATAGTTACCCGTAATAGTTGGTTCATCCTGACAAAACCATACATGCATGGAGTTTGGTATTGGTTCCGGGTCCCCTTTTCCCTCCCGTCCTCACACCACTTGCCTCCTCCTTCTTGATTTCTACTAGACTTTCTTTTGCTCATCTCTTCATTTTATTTTTGATTGTTTTTAAAATTTATATATACAGATGAAATTCCCTGTGGGATATTTATACTTGCACTTATCATGATTTTTAATGGCTCATTCCACATTTCCTCCCTTTCTCTGTCCCTCCCCTCTGACTCTTGATCTCCTTGTATAACCCTGACCTTTCCTGTGCTTTATCCTATCTTTTCTCCTTCTTTCCCTTATTTAACTCTAGCTTCCACAGATGAGAGGAAACTTCCCAAGTCTGATTTTCTGAGTCCGACCTGTCTCACTTAACATGATGCTCTCCATTTCCGTCCATTTTACCAGCAAATGCCCTAATTTCACTGAGGATAATTCCTCTGTGTATAAAAACCAGAGTTTCTTAATCCGCTCATCTGTTGGCAGGAGCCTGGTTGATTCCTTAGTTTAGCTGCTGTGAACTGTGCTGCTATAAACATTTAGGTGGCTGCACTCCTGCACTGAGCTGGTTTTAGATCTTTTTGAAAAACACCAAGGAGTGGGATGGCGGGGTCACGTGGTGGTTCCCTTCCTAGTTATTTGAGGACTCTCCATGCTGCTTTCCTGAGTGGTGGCCTTCACCACTGTGTGAGTTACACTTTACTGACATCCTCGCCAACACTTATTATTATTTGTACTCTTGGCATTCGCCACCTGACTGCAGTGAGATGATACCTTAGTGTAGAATTGACTTATATTTCCCTGACGACAAGCAGTGTTCAACATTTTTTCATATACACATTGGCCATTTGTGTTTCTTTTAATGTTTCTGTTTGATTTTTTGGACCATTTGTTGATTGGGCTACTATTTTTATTGTGATTTAGATTGAATGTATTTGAGGTCTTTACATATTCTGAATATTAATCTCCTGTTGGGGAAGTGGCTGGCAAAGATTCTCTCCCATTCTGTACAATCTTTCTTCGTTCCCTTCATCATTTCCTTTGCTGTGCACAAGATTTTAACTGATGGAATCCCTCCTTATTGATTCTTGGTTTTCTTTCTTGCACTTTGGGGGGTTTTGTTAAGGAAGTTGTCACCAGGATCTACATCATGGAATGTTGGCCCTATGTGTTTTTTTTTTCCCTAGTGGTTGTAAGCTTTCTGGACTAATTCCTGTGTCTTTGATTCATTTTTATGTGACTTTTATACAAGGTGACAGGTATGGATCTGGTTTCATTTTCCTACATATAGGCAGCTATCCAGTTTTCCCAGCACCATTTGGTAAAGAGGGTTTTTTACGAAATGTATTTTGTCAAATGTCAGATGGCTGTGAGCATGTGGGTTTGTCTCTGTGCCTTGTATTCTTTTCCATTGGTCTTCATGTCTATTTCGTGCCAATGCCATGCTGTTTTTGTTACTGCAGCTCTGTAGTATAATTTAAATTCAGGCACTCTGATGCCCCCAGCATCATTTTTCTTGCTCTGTAGTGCTTTGGATATTCTGAGACTTATTCTTCCAAATGCATTTAAGACTTTTTTTTTCCAATTCTGTGAAGAATGATATTGGCATTTTGATGGGGATTCCACTGAATCTGCATATTACTTTTGGTAGTATGGCCATTTTGAGATATCAGTTCTGCCTAGGAAAGAACATGGGATGTCTTTCTATCTTCTAAGGTTTTCTTCAATTTCCTTCTTCAGTGTTCTGTAATTTTCATGGTAGAGCTCTTTTACCTCATTGGCTAGATTAGTTCTCATGACCCTTTTTCTTTCTTTCTTTCTTTTTCTTGAAGTTTTGTGAATGGGTGGTTTTTCTGATTTGTTCTGTGGATGAATTTGTTCTTTGTTTTTCATTTTCAGTTTCATTAATTTTGGCTCTAATATTATTCTAATATTTCCTATCTCCTCCTGTTTTTTGGGATCAGTTATTCTTTTTCTGAGGATATGAGGTACAGCATAAGCCGATTTATTTGAGATCCCTTTATTTTTTTAAGGTAGGCACTCAGAGCTGTAGATTTTACTCTCAGAACTACTTTCATAGTGTCCCAGAGAGTTAGATATGCTGTGTCTCTGTTCTCATTTGCTTCTAAGGATTTCCTGGTGTCTACTCTCAATCCCTTTTGGGTCCAGTCTATATTTAAAGAATAAGCAACAGAGATGCAAGTGCAGTGAGGACAGGACACGTGGAAATGCTGGAAGTGAGATTAAACTGGACACAGGCGGAATCAGCGTAGAAGTAGCTGTCCTTGGTGTGTGGACTCATTTCCCACATGGGGACTTGCCTTTGGCAGACAGAGGAACCCAGTGAAGGTGATGTTACCCACCTATGCGAGGGGAGTGGTGGTGCCCAAAGGGTGGTGGTGCCCAAAGGGTGGTGGTGCCCAAAAGCTTGCTTCACATCTTCAATTAAAGAGAACCAGGCTGACATGGTGGAAACTCCCTGGATAAGTTTTTACAAAGCAATAAAACTCTAATGCTCAGTGTTCAATGTTTCAAATCACTGTGCACTAAGCACTCATTTTATTATTGTTTTCATTTCCCTGTATGGTTAAGATGAAAATTGACTGATATTTTAGGTTTTTAAAAATATTTTGACAAATCCTGCAAAGGCAGAAGAACAATCATTATTTTTCATGACCACTGTGGAGATGGCTTCCCAGGGTTTCAGTTTCCAAGGTCCTTTTTACAATCCTGCTCTTCATGGAGAGTGGTGACTGCCTTTATCCAGGACAATAGTGTTGTTCATAAGTGCTGAGGGAGAAAATCAATCGGATTAAGAAGAACTTTTTTTTTTCCTGGGTTTGAGGACACAGAGGAAGGAGAATAATTTCTTCTTATTAAAGCAGAATGTTTCATGTGAGAACCTCAACAAGGCTGGGGAGGAGGGGTAGGCAGGAAAAAGATGGCTGAATGACTCTTGAGAGTGAGGACTTGGGATGCTTGATGGCCAAGCCCAAGGCAATGGAGGAGAGCCATCCTGATGTATCAGGTGAGGCTTGCTTGTCACATCTGGGGAGGTGTCATGAGTTGCTGCCCAGAGGTAGGTCCCATGACCCTGCTCAGGATGATGAGTGCAGACTCAGCCATGGGACATCAAGGACTAGACAGAGGAGCAACAGGGGCCTGTGGGCTGGTGTCCTTGGGGGAGGCATGTGGAGCAGAGGCTACAGAGGCTTCTGGGCAGCTCCTTCTCTCAGGCTGAGCACCATGGAGCAGGGAGAAGGTGGCAGAGACGGAGGGTCCCAGGCAGCAGGGAGTGATGAAGGATCTGTGGGAAACATGTCCACATTCAGTTATCTGCTCACGATTCGTGAGAGTCTCCTTAGAGCTAGGAGGTCCTGGTGTGGCCGTCCTGGGATGCCTGTGGTGAGTGAACCAACAGCCCCAGGTTAGGACTCTGAGTCTCTCCTGTGTCCTTATCCCCTTCCCTCTCCATGCAGTGGGCCACATTGAGGGTCAGAAGTAAGCACCCTGAGAGCAGCCCACCTAGGTCTTCTCAACATTGTTTCCTGCCCCTGGAGGCCTAGTGGTGGACTAATCTAGAGGTGGCCTCCAAGGCTCACACCCAGTCTGATGCCCCTCATTGCACCCCCTCAGCCTGTATTCTATGGAGCCTTAGGACTCAGTGGACACCCAATGCCAACCCTTCACCTCCTCATCTCCTGCACACCCCACAGACTACCTGAGACCCCACAGAAGTTGCCTGAGTCCTGAGGGTGCTGAGGGGTGTGTGCCTGGTTCTCTAGACCCACTGACTCTGCAGCTGGGCACAGGTGGGCTGGCACTCCCCCTGGCCCTGCCTGTGGTGCACCCTCCCTCCTGGGGACTTACAGTCAGGACTTCTGCTTCCTGTGGACATAGACGGCAGAGACACTGACAGCTAACAGGATCTTGAGGCCAAATAACAGGGCGATGAGGTGTGAAACTAGTGTAAACATCACTGCTCCTGAAAATCAAGGGACAAGAGGGGCTCTTAGAGGGACTCCTAGATGTCTCTTCCCAGAAAACTGCACTTGCCCCAGGTGAGGCTGTGGGGTCCCAACAGAGTTGTGAAACTTGAGCACACACATGCTGTCCTGGCTGCCAGAGTCAAGAGATTCCTCATTCCCACTCGCCCAGTCTCAGGTCCCAGGGTGTGCTACCTGAGCAAAGGTGAAAATGTGTGCTCCGTGCACACTGCCCACCCAGCCATGCTGGTTCCCTCCATGAGCCTCACCATCCTGCGCAGAGGGATTATCATCTCCTCTTGTAAGGAAATGGATTCCTGGCGAGTTTATGGAGGGTCACCATTTACTGGAATCCAAACAAGAGAAGTCCCCCCTCCCCTTTAGCCTTATATGGTGATTCCTGAATTCAAGTTCTTTAGACCCAGAGAGTGATCCAGTGTCTCTGGGCCATGAGAACAATTTTCAATGAACATGCGCACGGGATGGGAGCCGTTCCATGGTGAGAGAGGAGAGCAAGCCTGCCCGCTTAGTACCGTGGGTGAGCTCAGTGACACTGTGTCTCAGGAGAGCATTCTAAGGAGCCTGCTAAGGAGGTGCAGTCTGCAGCAACGAAATCACTGGCTGGGAAACAGTCTGGTGAATCAAGGAAAAGGTTCTCATACTTGGGAGGGGCCTCAGTCTCCAAATAGCAGACCTCCCCTCCAGTGCTATGTCACCTGAAGTCTTTCTGTTGGACACACAAAGCCAGATCCTGGCAAGCAGACCTGTGGGGTCTTTGCATTTTTACCATTAGTCATTTTTGCTTTTAAGATGATGCTAACAAAGATAGAAAAATTTTTTAATAAAGAAAGAAATGCTTCCTTGTCCTTAAGAAGGAGAGGACACTTCACCCTGGTGCCCTGCAACAACAGCCTGTGCTCCAGGCTGAGTGGTGCTCTCGACTCCCCCTCAGTGGAGGAGAGCTGCACTCCTGCCCCCTCCTCCCTCTAGAAGGCACCAGCATCAGAGCCTGCCTGAGCAGGGAGTGGAAGGCCCCGCCCCTCTCCTCCCCTGAAAGCAGCTCTGGGGCTCCTCTGGCTTCTGTGGGGGCAGCTGAGCTGCTGCTTCTTCTCTCCTCAGGTGGGAGACACCCTGATGTTGATCCTGAGAACATTCCAGAAAGCTCCCTCATCCCCTATGCCCATCACAGAGGGCACTTCCTATGGAAACCCAGCTCATAGTAGAGTCTGGGAATTGGATTCTATAATGTGAGTTTGAACCTGGGACTCATCAGCTGGCTGGTGACATGACCCCAATGCTGGGGGTCAGTGGCACCTGAGCAGGCACTGGTCTGTGTTGAGGTGCCCTTGTTCACACTTCCACCAGAAGTGAACTTGTTTAACCTCAGGAAGGGAATTCTTGGCATCTGGTGCTTGAACTTCAATTGGGAAATGGCTGTTATTAGGCTCTGGCTTTGGAGGGCTGGTTCTGCACATCAGTCCTTTGGGGAAAGACGATGAGAAGCTAAGTGTGAGGTGTATTGAAAATTCCAATATGGAATGGAGGCTGGACAGAGGTCCACAGGGTAAGGAGGAGGGAGAGGCCCTGAGGAAGGAGAACAGAGAAGTAGGTGGGTGGAGAGACAAGAGGCAGGACAGTAAGACAGGACGGTCCCCCTCCCTCTCCTTCTTCTTTAATGTCTGTTGAAAGATCCATGGAGAGATGGACCCAGGTCTTCACAGTGGAGACTCTTGGGATGATTTCAGGGGACTTAATCTATATTTATAAACTTTTGAATTATTCTATAATGATTAGGAATACTACCTTGAGAGAGAGAGAGAGAGAGAGAGAGAGAGATAAAAAAGACCCAGCTGACTGGAGTGGAGACTCCACCAGGGAGACATCTTTTTTGTTTTGGGTACCAGAGATTGAACCCAGGGGTATTTAATCACTGAACCACATCTACAGCCCTTTTAATATTTAATTTAGAGACAGGGTCTTGCTGAGTTCCTTAGGACCTTGCTAATTTGCTGAGGCCGACTTGGAACTTGTGATCCTCTTGCCTCAGCCTCTTGAGCTGCTAGGATTAGACACCTCACCTGGCCAGGAGGTGTCTGTACCCTGCTTTTTCTGGTTACCTTGACATTTAGCCTATGGCTTCTGGAGGTGGCTGGCTGCCTGTCATGTACCACCTGGCAGGTGAGTACCATGTCACCGCTCTGGGCACATGAGTTCTCCAGGAACCCACTCATGTGGTCACAGGTCCCATCCTTGTTCTATGGGATAGCTGAAGTGTGGACGACACATTTCCATTCTCTAACCAGGTCACATGCAAGCTCTGGGGATAGAACTTCTTTGCCTGGCAGGTGATAGTCACCTGGTTCTGTGTCACTGTGTATTTTTTGGTGACCTCCACAGTGGAAAGAAAGACAGGTAGAGGGGGAGGACAATTAGAATTGACATGTGTCAGGTGAAGAAGGCAAGAGGCGGCTGCCAGGACAGGCCCACCCCCCCTTCCTCCTTAGTGTCCCTGTTGAAGGCCCCATGAGATGTGTGCCCAACCCTACAGAGGAGACCCTCAGAGTGTGGGTGTGGGGAGCTGACTAAGACGCTGCTGTGTTCCCAGGCTCTGGGTGCCCTGTGGGAAGGAGGGGTCACTGCTCTCACATCACAACACACAGAGTCAAGATGAAGTTTAAAGCATTCAATCAGCTGGGAGAGGGCTCACCAGGGGTTGCTCCCTGGGATCAGCAGAGACCTTCAGGGTGTAGTTCCTGGTGGTGGCTGGCTGCCCGTCATGCTCCACCTGACAGGTGAACGTCACATCCTCCCTGTGCACAGAGGAGTTGACCAGCAGCCAGATCATCAGGTTGAAGGTCCCGTCCTTGTTCTCTGAGCGGGTCGAGCCTGTTTCTGTCCTGGACACATTTCCATTCTCCACCCAGGTCAGCTGTAGGCTCTGGGGGTAGAAGTGCTTCACCTGGCAGGTGACGTTCACCTGGTTCCCTGCCATGGTGGGCTGTGGGATGACCTCCAAGGTGGGTGGAACTGAAACAGCACAGGGAGAAGCTGTGACCTTATGGCACAGACAGCTGAGCTCCTCCCAGCAGGGCAAGGGCCTCCTTCGGGAGAGGGCCAGGCATGCAGAGGGGCTCAGACACTGGCGGTTTGCACAGGAGTGAATCACTAACCACAGGGCCTGCCACCACAGTGGCAAGTGACCCCTAAGGGTAAAAGTGAGTGATGTTGACAAGCCCAGCTCCTGGCCTGCAGGAAGTGAGTACAATAGATGAAACCTCCCTGCACGTCAAGGCTCGGCTCTGGGAGGAGCTCAGTTGTATTAGTTGCTGCTGGTCAATGAAATGAAGCCACCAGCACATGCTGGCCACAGGACAGGAGTCCACATGTGATGGCAGGTGGCAGCACTGCTGGGAATTAGAGCCCAGGCCACTGAGGTCCTGGAGCAAAGGCCCCTGGGGAGCAGCAGGCTGGGTGGCCAGTGTGGGCTGAGGTGGGGAGCAGGGTCCTGTACCTCGGATGGTGTCAGACAAGTTGGCAGTCCCATGAAGAAGGCTCCCCTGTAGGGTGACGTGGCCCACCACACAGATGATCTGAGAGTGGATGTCCCTGGGGGCCAGGGTCACCAGGGCTGTGCTGGATACACTGTAGGACACACTTTCTCCCCTGGGGTCCACGCTGGTCTGGGTGTGTGAGAGCTCCTTCCCATTTTTGAACCACTTGAGAGTGATGTTGTTGTGGGGAGGAGCCGTGGGACTGGCAGGTGAAGCTCACTGTCTGCCCATGTGTGGCCCTGGTCACAGGACCTGATACCCTCGGGGGAGAAGGTCTGGCTGTGAAGGGGATTGACAAGTCAGGTGATCAGGAGGCCACCTCTGACCACAGCGAGTGACACTGTGAAGACCCTTCCTAGACGTTGCTTTGTTGTTATTATTATTTGCTGTCCTGGGGTCATCCTCAGGTGCATGCTGAACGTCTGCACTGTCACTGGGCTACATCTGTTATCAGGACCATGATGCATTTCTGAATCCTCCAATAAAGCTCTCTGGGTGCTGTGCTTATCCCTGTTGGTGTCCCTACCCTCCCGAGTAGGCAAGCACAGCTGTCCACCAGACGGTGAGGACCTGAAGCCCAGGAGCTGCTCCAGGGCTGAGGTCATAGCTTTCCTCAGCACCAGGGCTCAGGGAGGAACTGGGGACCTGTGTCTCCCTTTCTTAACAACTGATTCCTGCTGGCCTGCCCTGGAAAGATTGGCACCCAGGGGAGCCATTTATAGAAACAAATGCAGGGGACAAATGGCACCAGGACACCACCATGAACATGGGAACAAGGCTGGGACTTGGCCCAGTGCCACATCAGTGAAGTGGGAGTGTTGCAGTTCTCCTCCCAGGACACACTGGTCACAGCTGGCCTTGGAACATTTGGTAGATGCTTCTGGGAACAAGCAAATGCTGGGCATGTTGGCCCAAGTCTGTCGTCTCAGGGACTGGGGAGGCTGAGGCAGGGGGATTGCAAATTCAAGGCCAGCCTGAGACACTACTTGCCTCAAAATAAAATATAAAAAGGGTTGGGGATGTAGTTCAGTGTAGAGTGCCATGATTTCAATCCTCGACCAAAACTAAAAAACCAAACAAATGAAAACAAAACAAACCCAGGTACTTCTTTTCCAGACTTATTCTATGCAGGGCTCGACCACAGGTGGTTATGAATTCACCTCGATTGTTCCTCTTTTGACAAATATGCCATGGTCTCTCCTGGGCCAGGACTGAATTTGAGATGGAGAGGAGGAAGGATCCTTTTTTGAATCTGGTCTTCCCTGGGTCACTTTGCATTGAAGTCAGAGGTCACTGAGAGCAGAGGAAGTTGCAGGGTTAAGTTCATAACTGATGGCTAATCATAAGAGATGCAGACCAGGCCTCTGAGCAGGTCCTGAGGGCACTCAGGTGAGAGGATGAGCAGGACATTTGCCTATGGCTGGATCCTCAGATAGGTCTTTTAGTGTCTCCAAATTGCTCATCACCACCCAGCACCTTCTACAGTTGTGACCAGCAGCAAAAATCATGAAGGTTTGTATCAGCAAATATTGAGCTCCCTGCCTGACATGCACCCAACACTTGGAGGGCACAATATGAAGGTTGTCACTGAAGAAGTGGAGTTACCCAGATTGCAGCAGCCTGGACATCCCTACAGGTGTTAGGGACTCTAGTCATTGGCCACTTATCAGGAGCTGTTCAGCATCCTGATGCAGGCTTGAGCCCTTGAAGTCTCTCAGCTCTTGATACACACCTGCCACATGAGGGGGTCCTAGTGAGAGATGGAGATGGTTGGCCAAGGGCACAAGGGTGGGGAGAGGGAAGAGAGCAGATTCCTGTCATCCACACTGGAGGACAAGGTAACACTTGTTCTTTTTGTACTGAGCCTCAGTGTCCCCTTCTATAGAGAGTTCTTTTTTTTTTTAAATGTATGTTTTACTTGTAGTTGGATACAATACCTTTATTTCACTTATTTATTTTTATGTGGTGGTGAGGATCAAAACCATGGTTTTTCACGTGTAAAGCTGTCACATCTCCAGCCACTATAGAGAGTTCTTAAAAGCACCACCCTGCAAGATAAGGATGAAGGCAAGGGACAGTGCTGGAATGGAGTAGGTGCCCAATAAATGGCATCTGTGGCTGCTATTGTCACACCTTCTAAAACCACACATTCATTGTTCAGCAACAAATGCAGTGGGGACCCCAGGAACAGTCTCCATCCTGTTACTGCAGCTGCCAGGAGGACCCCAGTGAGAGGAGGAGCAGACACCCCACCCTCGTGATGGTGCTCCACCTGTTTTCTTGTCCCCCCACCAGAGACTGAGAGTCTACCCAGGGCCTCAGGCGTGCTCAGCAGGCATTCACCACTGAGCTGCACCCCCACCCTCTCCCTGTGCTCTTAAGAGTCCCCACAGGAAACAAGGTGGCAAAGTGCTTCTCACATCATGAACAGCATCACAGAGAACAGCATCCAGAGAAGCTGTTTCTATAACATTGGGATCTGTGAAGGGACAAGGGACAGATGCCTGAGTGACATTCTGGGTCATCAAGGCAGGGAGGGCTGTGTGCTGAAGAGCCAGGACTCAGTGGCTCCAGCTCCTGTTCAGAGACAGACACATGTCAGATGTGGGCTCCAGGCTGACGCTGGATCTGAGTGGGCTCTGTCGGGAGACCCTGCCAAGGGCCCAGAGAGCAGAGCCCAGCATGGGCTGTTCTGAACACCCACACCTGAGAAGGCTCCCACGCTCTCCCTTACTGCCAGAGGAAAAATACCAACTTCCCTTCTGTGTCTTCAGGACATCAATCTCAGGGGTTGAGAGCCCTGGCTGTGTGTTAGAACCTTCTGAAGTAAGTAAAATATTCAGATGTCCAGACTCATGTTGGAATTTTAAAAGCAAAATGTCAAGGTGAACCCTGAATCTGGGAGATTTTGTCATCAGTTTCCCATGTGATTCCTATGCACAGCCAGTGGGGAGCCCCCGACCCCACTCAGCATAACAGTAAGAACAACTGTAACCTCTCCACAGGAAGAAGGCTTTTGCCCTTGTTCAAACAATGGAGCAGCTCTGTGTGTCCTGCTGGGGCATCTCCCTGTGGAAGGAGACCATGGCCGACATTCAGGAGAGGTTCTCCAGTCACTGTGGGCTTCAGGGTGTGCATGTGAGTGTCTTCCTGAACCTGTGGGAGAGGGAGGAGGAGCACAGATGCTGCTCCCTGCCCAGTGGGTCAGGTCAGAGTCTGTGTTGAGCCCCTCCTGTGTCCTGGCTCCTCTGTGGGGGACAGTGTCTATTCCCAGGGCAGCAGGAGCCTGGGCTGGAGTCAGGTCTGGGCTCTGTCCCCTCCTGGCATTAATGTGCTGTGTGAGAGAGGGCCTGCTGGGCCTCCAGCTCCCCAGGTCAACAGGGGTGGGCACAGGTGTGAAGGTCCATGTGTGCTGACCACCTCAGCCTCAAGGCTTAGGAAGGGCATGTAGTGCTTTTTGTAGGAACCACACAGTGAGCACCTGTGCTTCCTGAACTGGGAACCCCTGTGTCACCACATGGAGAACACTCTCTGGGTGACTGACCCACGTCTGCTCCTACCCTGCAGGGCCTGTGAGGGCTGGTCCCTGAGACACAGGGATTTCCAGGCAGACCCAGGGCAAAGGCCCAACCTCTTGGCAGCTCCTCCACCAGGGCCCCAGGTCTACAGAGAACCTGAGCCTGTCAGAGTCCCCTCAGGTACTGTTCCAGGGGAGGAAGGAAGGAAAGCATTCCCTGCCCCCTCCCTGCTCTGGAGGGCCTGGTCCTCAGGGAGGGACAGGAACAGTAGCCTGTGGGAGAAGAACGTTAGCCTGCACTGCTCCCAGCTCTTTCCAGAGCATCCAGAGTGCAGATTGGCACACAGTGGGTCCTGGGTGCTGGTGGTATAAAGAGAAGGCTCACCCCACGGGGCAGTGCTCTCTGAAGGCAGCACACATGCTCTGGCTCTGTGATTGGCAAGTCCCTCAAACCCTCAGAGCCCTCAGCTGGGGAGCCACGGGGCTGGGCCAGACTGGAAAAGGTCAGGGCTGTGGAGCAGGCAGGTGAGGGGTGCAGATGCCCCCATTTATCAGTCATGGAGCCTGGACCAAATAGCACGGCCTCCACAGGCCTCTGCCTCCCTGACCTGCAGAAGGGGTGGCAGCGGGTCATGACATGAGCACCCAGTGCTGCTCCTGCTTCTCAGCTGTGGCCCCCAGAATGGAGGGCATGACCCCTGACCCTCTGTCCCACCCCAGGGAGGAGGAGGCAGCTGCACTCACCTCGCACAGACAACTCGGTGCCTGGTCCAGACTTATACTCCTTATCAACAGGGGTTGATTTCTGGAACTTCACACAGTAGTAGGTGCCGGCGTCTGCTGGGGTGACATTACTGATGCGGATGGAAAAGTCCTTGTTGTCCCTCTTTGTGGCATCTGAGAGAACTGTGACTCGGGGGAAGTAGCCTCCTAAGAAATTGTAGATCAACTCCCGACCTGGCCCTGCCCCCTTAAACCACAGATGGGGACCCACGGGGAGCAGGTAGGTCACAGAGCAGTGCAGAGTGGCCGACTCTCCAGCAGCGACAGACACTGACTTCTCAGGCTGGATCACCTGCAGCTCCTGTGCAGCTGCTCCTGGGGGGAGACACAGGGTGGTCACCATTCATCCTGGGGGATTCTCTTGGTTTACCACGTGGTATCGGCAATGCCTGTCACTGACTGAGTGCCCACAGAGTGGCCTTGAGCTCAGCACAGGGCGTGTCCTCACACTGAGCCTCCCCTGGCCTGCACCTCCACACTGTGAGACACCTGCCCCTGAGGCCCAGAGCCCTGAGCAAGGTGGAGGGAGGGGACTCAAGGGCCTGAGCCCTCCCCTGAGCTCTCAAGTGTCACCAACTATTTTTTGCTCTTCCCTTTCTGACCACAAGGTCACTGGCACTATATGGACTATGACATTGGGTGGGGTCCTGATGCTCTTGAGAGTCCTGAGTTTTGGGGAAGTGGTGGGTACAGTTAATGGGACATGATTTTGACATGAGTCTTGGCTCAGCTTCCCTGTTCCACAGAGAGTCCAGCTTATGATGGGGTTTCCTCAGCCTGGAGTGATCATGGTGCATACAGCAATGAACGTGCAGCTCAAGTAAGAAATGAAACATTGCTGAAGCCCCTCACATATCTCCCCACAGTACAACCACCTTGTATAAGTTTCTAATGCTGCTGTGACAAAGGACTGCCCACCTAGTGCCCACAGCAACAGAAATCTATCATGTTATGGTTGTGACCATCAGAAGCTCAAATTCGCTGTCACTGGGCCTCCACCCAGGGCTCCTCGTGAGAGCTGTTTCCTTAGGAGGCTGTTCCCTGCTCTCCACACCCAGGGGGCTGCCTGGGCTGCTTCCCCTTGTTTCCCATCCTCCTGTCCCTCCTCCCTCTTGCCTCCTCATCCCATGTCCTTCCCTAACTCTTACCCTCCTTCCTCCTCCTCCTCCTCAGGACCCTAGTGACCTATTGGGCCCCACCTGAAAAGAGACCAGCACTGTGAAGCAGCTGTCTCCAACATGCTCCTGGAAAATTGGGATGAAGTGGAAGGAAAATCTAGAATATGATCAGCAAATTGAGAACATCAATAAAGAAAGAGGATGTATTAAAATATTCAAGCAGAAATTTGAGTATTGATAAGCTTAATTAACTCAGAAGTTCACTGGAGATCCCACAACAGGTTTGAACAGGCAGTTGAAAAAAATCACAAAATGTGGAGCAGGATCCATTGACATTGCTGAGTCTGAAATTCAGAAAAACAAAACAAAACCAAAAAACCCAAAAAACAAATAACAAAAAACTTGGAATCTTAAAAAGAACCTAGAGTCTATTCAGAATATCAAAAAAGCATCGACAAACATATGAGACTCCCAGAGATACAAGAAAGAAAAATGTTAAAAGGTTTATTTCAAAGAGAAATATTGCCTACAATCTTAAATATGATCAAGTATATGAATGTTCTAATCCCAGATACTGAACAAACTTCAGGAACCATCAACGTGAGCCGACCCACACTGAGGCGCATTGGACACCAATCTGCTAAAATTAAAATAAAGCCGAATATACTGAAGCAGAAAGAGAGGAATGATCACCAGATACTGGAGAGCTTCCTGAGGTTTGTATCAAGTTCTTGATGATGGGAGTCAGAGGCAGTAAGATGACTGATCTAAAGTGTTGAATAAAAATATATCTAGAATTCTATACCTGGCACAACTGTCCTTCCAACATAAATGAGAAATGAAGATATTTCCAGATAATGAAAAATGAGTATGGCACTAACTCTAGAAATGTCCCACAGGAAATTTGAAGGGAGATCATGAGGTTGAAATGAAAGTATTGTAGATAATAAGGCCAAGTTGTACCAAAAATAAAGATCTTATAAATGTTTTAAATTTCCTGGTGCCTCAGTTTCCCCAAGAACAGATATGAAAACTTCATTCAACCAACAAGTATATTAATGAGATAAGCCATTCTCAACCATGAGTTCCCCTGTGGTTCTTCCTGGACTGGGAGCTAGTGGAATTAACACACACCTGTGAAATCCCTCATGATATTGGCTTGTGTGCTCTGCAGTGACCCCAACCAGGCACTTGCCCAGGGGTTCTCTCTAGGAACTGTGTTCCTGAAAAATCCTTAATTTCTGGTGTCTTTCCAGGTGCAGTTCCCACAACTCTGTTGGCAAGGTCCTTAGGGGGCTCATCAGTGGGATGAACCCTCCCATTGACTACACAGTGGAGATGAGGGAGGGAAGTTCTAAAATCAGGGGCAAAGTACTTCAGATAAAGCCTCTGACTGTTCGTGCCTTACTGGCTGACTGTCCCCAATGGCTCCATGTGTTGCACAGATCTCTGGCCTGCTGGCTGTCTTGTGCCCTGCTTTGTGAAGTTCTCTGTTCCTTTTCAGAGAGCTTATAATGCTCTCTACATTAGAGTACTGCTCTCATCTCAACCCCAAGAATGCAGATTGAGATACCAGTTCCTAGCCTTGACCCCAGCTACAGAATCATCCTACCACTGGAATCTGGAAAACCAGACCATGTGAATTGGCTATTGACCAGTGCACTTGTGTGGGAATGTGATTTGAGGTAAGATCCCTGCTGGTGGGTGTGTGCAGAGAAGTATTAGCAGCATTAGGGAGTGAATTTGATCATGTTATGTTTTATGCGTGTATAAATATGCCACAGGGAAACCCATTATTTTGTAAAATTCATATGTGCTCCACCATCCAAAAATACAAAATAGTAAAAAAGAAAGAGTAACAAAGCCCCCTGGAATTTTCCCAGATGCCTTTCTAGGCAGAGGAGGGGTGACTCCCCTTTGCCGAGCAATGATGAGGGAAGTTCCAAACTATGTCAGTGTCATAGCTGCTATGAAGATCAACTTTGGAGGGGATCCAAGATGGCGGGCCAGAGGGAGGCAGCATTCTGTGTTGCTCTCTCACCTGGGACTCAATTAGTGAGAGTACTGCTTCTATGAGAGTGATATTCCTGCTTTCTCACAGAAATAATAGCCACTGTGCATTTTCAGGACACCAGGCCTCAATGTCAGAGTAAGTCTCCCATCTAGTCACCCATGCAGAACTACCAGATGCCCAATGCGGGACCATCAGCATCAGCACCAGTGCAGGATTTTTGGCCACTCATCTGAGCAGAAATCCAGAATGCTGCTCCCATGCAGGACTCCTGGTAGCTATCCATGTAGAGAAACTCTGGCCACCACTCCTGTGTGGGCCCCCATTTACCAACATGGGGCTCGCCTAGTTTCCCTCATCTTGGGACTCCACAACAATGGAGATAGTCCCCTATGCAGGGTATCCTGCCTGCAATGGGGACTTCACAATGGTCTGAAGACAACCAGCTCATCTCTGAACACATTGCCCAATGCAAAGCCTGGCTCCCCCCACCCTACCCGACACCCATTGCTGAAAGCAGCCACCTTCATTTGGGTCACCTCATCACCATCTCTAGTGAGGGCAACTCCCAGTTTGGAACTGTGGCTGGCCAGGTGCTGAGTCCATGAGTTGGAAAGCAGTCTATGTTGTCTATGTGAGGGACATTCAGGGTCCAGCACACTGAATCCGGATACTGTATTAGCACATTAACTGCACTCAGCCCCATCACCATGGGAATCTGGCCTCCCATTGATGCATAGCACGTCCCTTTCCTTCTGCATTTCTGCCATTGACCATTGAGCCCATTGGTTTCCACTCATAAGCATGTTGCTAGCTCTTTGGTCACTCGACCCTCGAATAAATCTGCCCAGTAACAGGCTCTGCATAAAAACTTTCCTTTGCAATAATGAAAGGAATTGAGTCCTCTGAAACTGATCTCCGGAGGACTCTTTTTGACTCTGTTGCCACATCCTCCTCAGCTGTTTGGTGGGCTTCGGCTGGATCTAGTGAGCCCACATCCAGGTACCCAGTTTCCACCCTGTCCCCCTAGCAGCTGCTAGCCTGGCATGTGACTGCCCAACACAAAACAGCTCTTAGCAGCAGATGCACAATATTTTCTAAGTGCCCCACACAAGACCCCCAGAGAGAAAAGTCCCTTATTAGGAACTAGTAAGGGAGAGGATGAGTGAGATAGAGTTTAGAGACTAACACAGAGACCAGGAACTGGGAGGTCTTCAGGCAAAATAAGGAGATAAAACCAGGTGTTCACATCACATGAGTGGGCCCCAAAAGAGATCCTTGAGGTACACTCTCCCTTTGGGGACCACTGGGTGCCACACCTCACTCCTTGGTACCCTCCACCCAGGACCAACCTTCCTACCTTGGTTTCCTTCACTTTCCTGAGGGCAGAGATACCAGCTAACAATAGACAACCCCACCTATTGGGAGAAGGAAAGCAGGAAAGATCCTGATCTCCAACCAAAACATTCCTGGTTTCTTCATTCAAGATTATTTTTCTTTCCTTTTTCTTCTCCCTCTCTATTCTCCCACCCTCATATCCCCAACATATGTGAAACCAAGTACTTTGCATGAATTAGGATTTTGAGGACTGGGGCGACTGAATAGTATATTACAGTTGTGTTGAATATTCTTTTTTTCCCTCCAATTTTTACTATTTTAACATTTTTAAATTTTTCTTAATACACATGTGTTTGTTTTATATACTTTACTGTTTTCCCTCTTACTTGTCTACCTAAAATTAATTCCTTTTTATTCTGCTACTAACTTTCTTCTTTAGATTTCTCATTCACATTTCTTAAGATATAATAACTCTATATCCTCACTCCTACCTCCTCAGCATATCATCCTACAAATCACCTCCAGATCTTTGTTCACTGTCAGAAACTGTAAATGCTTTTTACAAACCCACACATTATATTGTAGATAATAATTGAATTCAACATTTATGTATATTGTGACCAAACTGTAAACGTCTTAATACTATTTGTTTTTAGGCTGTATATTGTTTATATTGGGATCTGTTAACATTGCCTTTCTCCTCAAAGGAGAGGTATTGGAACCCTACAGGGGCACTATAATCTTTATAGAGTAAAAACGGTAACACCTTGGATCTGCAGTGCTAGAAGGGAAGACATACAAACAGCATGAAAAGACAAGGGAAGAAAGAGCCCCAAACAAACAAAGATACCACATTATTAGAATCCATGGCCAGCACAGCAGAGGAAATTACAGAGAAGGAGTTCAGGATGTACATAATCAAAATGTTCTGTGAATTAAAGAATGATATATGAGAGCAAACCCAGCGAGCAAAAGATCATTTCGACAAAGCTACATAAACAAACATAGGAAACAAAAGACTAATAGGGAGATCGAGGTTCTAAACAAACAAACTCTTGAAATGAAAGAAACAATAAACCAAATCAAAGTTCAATTGAAGCATCACCAACAGAGTAGACCATTTGTAAGACAGAACATCAGACAATGAAAACAAGATATATTATCTTGAAAAGAATAATACCACCCAGTGAAAATAATAAGAAACCATCAGCAGAACATTCAAGAAATATGGAATAGCATAAAAAGACCAAATTTAAGAGTTATTGGGAGATAGAGGATAGCACAGAGTTGCAAAACAAAGGAATGAATAAAATATTCAATGAAATAATATCAGAAAACTTTTCAAACACAAAGAATGAATTGGAAAATCAAATTCAAGAGGCTTACAGGATGGCAAATGCACAAAATCACAACAGATCCACACCAAGACACATTACAATAAAAATGCCTTATGTACATAATAAAGAGAGAATATTAAGGGCCACGAGAGAAAGGAATCAGATTACACATTGGGGAAACCAATTAGGTTATGTGCAGATTTTTCAACCCAGACCCTGGAAGCTAGAAGGTCCTGGAACAACATATATCAAGCTCTGAAATAAAATGGGTGCCAACAAGAATCTTGATCCAGCAAAATTACGATTTAGATTTGATGATGAAATAAAAACTTTTCATGATAAATGAAAGCTACAAGAATTTACAGGTAGAAAGTCCCACTACAGACATCTTGGCAAAATATTCCATGAAGAGAAAATAAAAACAACAATGAAAATCAGCAGACGGAGGTATTACACTAAAGGAAAAACTAATCAAAGGAGAAATTAAGTCAATTAAATACCAAAAATAAACAAAAAATAGCTAGGAATACAAATCATGTCTCAGTAATAACCCTGAATGTTAATGGCCTAAACTCACAAATCAATGGACATAGGCTAGAAGACTTGATTAAAAACAACAACAACAACAACGAAAACCCAACAATATGTTGCCTCCAGGAGTCTCAGCTCATAAAAAAAGACATATACAGATTGAAGGTGAAAGGTTGGGAAAAATCATACCACTCCCATGGACTATGGAAGCAAGCAGGGGTTTTCATTGTCATGTCAAATAAAGTAGACTTCAAGCTAAATGTAATCAAAAGAGATAAAGAAGAACACTACATACTGCTCAAGGGAACCATACATCAACAAGACATAACAACCATAAATATATATGCCCCAAACAATGGAGCATCTATGTTCATCAAACAAATTCTTCTCAAGTTCAAGAGTCAAATTGTCCACAACAAAATAATTTTGGGTGACTTTAACTCACCTCTTTAACACTGACTAGATCTTCCAAAAAAAGCAAACAAAGAAACTATAGACCTCAATAATGCAATCAATAACTTAGACTTAACTCACATATATAGAATATTTTATTCTTCAATGAATGAATACACTTTCTTCTCATCAATACATAGATCCTTCTCTAAAATAGACCATATATTATGCCACAAAACAAATCGTAGTAAATATTAAAAAGTAGAGATAGTACCCTGCATTCTATCAGATCAAAATGGAATAAAATTAGAAATCAGTGATAAAATAAAAAATAAAA